AAATGACAGCTACCTGTCAGTAGTGGCAAGTTAGTTCGTATGACTGCTACCTATCAACTATACTGGGTTTAAATGACTGCTACCTGTCAATGGTAGTAAGTTCAAATGACAGCTACCTGTCAGTAGTGGCAAGTTAGTTCGTATGACTGCTACCTATCAACTATACTGGGTTTAAATGACTGCTACCTGTTAATGGTAGCAAGTTCAAATGATTGCTACCTGTCAGTAGTGGCAAGTTAGTTCGTATGACTGCTACCTATCAACTATACTGGGTTTAAATGACTGCTACCTGTCAATGATAGCAAGTTTAAATGACTGCTACCTGTTAGTAGTGGCAACTTATTTTAAATGATTGCTACCTATCAACTATAGTAAGTTTAAATGACTGCTACCTGTTAATGGTAGCAAGTTCAAATGATTGCTACCTGTCAGTAGTGGCAAGTTAGTTTATATGACTGCTACCTATCAACTATACTGGGTTTAAATGACTGCTACCTGTCAATGATAGCAAGTTTAAATGACTGCTATCTGTTAGTAGTGGCAAGTTAGTTTAAATGACTGCTACCTATCAACTATAGTAGGTTTAAATGACTGCTACCTGTTAACTATAGCAAGTTTAAATGACTGCTACCTTCAACTGTCGCAGTTTTAAATGACTGTTACCTATCAACTGTCAGTTTTAAATGACTGTTACCTGTCAACTGTCACAGTTTTAAATGACTGTTACCTATCAACTGTCACAGTTTTAAATGACTGTTACCTATCAACTGTCGCAGTTTTAAATGACTGTTACCTATCAACTGTCACAGTTTTAAATGACTGTTACCTATCAACTGTCGCAATTTTAAATGACTGTTACCTATCAACTGTCATAGTTTTAAATGACTGTTACCTATCAACTGTAGTAGGTTTAAATGAGTGTTACCTATAAACTGTAGCAAATTTAAATTTGACTGCTACCTATCAACTGTAGCAAATTTAAATGACTGCTACCTATCAACTGTAGTAAATTTAAATGACTTACCTGTCAACTGTCACAGTTTTAAATGACTGCTGTTTATCAACTGTAGTAAATTTAAATGACTGCCGTTTATCAACTGTAGCAAGTTTAAATGATTACGACTTATCAACTATAGTTGGTTTAAATTACTACTACCTATCAACTGTAGCAGTTTTAAATCATTGCTACCAAGTTTAAATGACTGTTACCTATCAACTGTCATTGTCTGCAGGCACTGGATGTGACATTATTTTTGTTTTAAGAGTGTAGAAAACTATGGTTTGAAGTATTTATTGGAACTGTAGTTAGAAAGCATTTGTTTTTGTAAAGTAAGAAATGTACCTAATTCATGCATATTATTGGCAATTTCACTCAAAACTATGTAACTAAATATTTCAAGTTTACAGTTGACATATGATGCTATATAATATCAGGTTAAAACAATTTCTTTTCCTATATAAATATTGTTATATAGATAAAGAACTCTAGGATACAATAAATGCAATCTTTGTTTAGAGCACAAGTTTCTGTTTATTACAGCTCCCAGGGTAAGATGCCTGTTACGATGTTAATGTTGGCTAAGTACAAATTTTAATAATGAACAATGAAAAACACAAAAATTATCCCAAACTAAATATTGGAGTCTCTCTTGATATCTTTTGCTAATTGATGTTTTCTTAGAACTTAATGGTATTGCAGTTGAGAACTGACCAGCAGGAATCCAGGCTAGCTTCTTAAGGTTCAGTAAATGTTTAATATATGTACAAGTCAAACATTTCTTTTATAAATGCCATGTTCACTATGAGTGTTTTTTAACTAAAACAAAACTCAAACATAAAACTGCCAATGAAGGAACAGCAGCTCTAAATATTTATAATGTAGGTTTATGAAGGAACAGCAGTTCTAAATATTTATAATGTAGGTTTATGAAGGAACAGCAGTTCTAAATTTTTATACTCTAGGTTAATTAAGGAACAGCAGTCCTAAATTATTATAATCTAGGTTAATGAAGGAACAGCAGTTCTAAATTTTTATAATCTAGGTTAATGAAGGAACAGCAGTTCTAAATTTTTATAATCTAGGTTAATGAAGGAACAGCAGTTCTAAATTTTTATAATCTAGGTTAATGAAGGAACAGAAGTTCTGAATTTTTATAATCTAGGTTAATTAAGGAACAGCAGTCCTAAATTGTTATAATGTAGGTTAATGAAGGAACAGCAGTTCTAAATTTTTATAATCTGGGTTAATGAAGGAACAGAAGTTCTAAATTTTTATAATCTAGGTTAATGAAGGAACAGAAGTTCTAAATTTTTATAATCTAGGTTAATTAAGGAACAGCAGTTCTAAATTTTTATAATCCAGGTTAATAAGGAACAGCAGTTCTAAATTTTTATAATCTAGGTTAATTAAGGAACAGCAGTTCTAAATTTTTATAATCTAGGTTAATGAAGGAACAGAAGATCTAAATTTTTATAATCTAGGTTAATGAAGGAACAGAAGTTCTGAATTTTTCTGTTCCTTAATTAACCTAGATTATAAGTTCTAAATTTTTATAATCTAGGTTAATGAAGGAACAGCAGTTCTAAATTTTTATAATCTAGGTTACTACACACAAGTGATATTAAGAGTGAGATGTCCATTTCTTCATTTTTGCAGGGCCGAGCTGCTGATCTTCGTTACATTGAGGCAGCTGCTCGCACAATTGGAGATGTAGCGGAGGGGATGAAAATTGTTGTAGAGAAGAGCACTGTTCCTGTGAAGGCAGCTGAAAGTATTAACACTATCCTCAGAGCCAACTTGAGGCCAGGTGTGAACTTTCAAGTACGTTTATATATGTAATTGGAATTTTAACATTTCCAACAGTTATCATTCAGTATTTTACACCAAACTGTAAAGAGTAATCATCTTTGTGACTGATATTGATCAGTACTGCAGATAATGTTGCAAACTCTCCCCCCCCTCTAACTGGTAAATTTCTGATAGTTAGTGCCAGTTAGGATTGCTAGATTAATTTGTGTTGTATATGTTTTAATAGAGATGGTAGAAGTAAAAAAAAAACAGTTGTTATAGTGGTAGTGTACATGTTACCAATACACACATTTCTGTTACCAACACCAAACAGATAAATTGTTTTCACCATTCTGCTGCAGTTCCCATATTTAACTGTTATGTTAGCCGTACAAAGGTCCATTGGAGTTGTGCTGGCAGATTATAAAATGTGGTCAAATGGAGCTGCAGTAATTTCATTTTCCCAACAATCTTTCTAATGAAAATAACTGTTGTGTGGCTGAAAGTCTGCAAATGTTTAGATTGTGAGCCTTTCTCACAAGCAGATTTGAGTTTTTTGTCTTGTTTATGAGATCGAGAGGACATATGGTCAGTTTTACCTTAATGGTTTTTGTGTCAGAAGGTTCTTTTTCCTAATCCTAGCCTAAAAGCACTGCTTTGGATGGAGTTAGGATATGGTTTTTGGAGTCTGTTGTTGTCCTAAAATTTCTACTTGACTGAGTTAAATTGTTCATCTGTGTCTTCTGTAATCATAAAACACTAAGTTAGAGAGCTGCCTCGTCTGAGTTAAGTTGTTCATTTGTCTCTTCTATAATCATAAAACACTAAGCTAGAGAGCACACTTGGCTGAGTTAAGTTGTTTATTTGTCTCTTCTATAATCATAAAATACTAAGCTAGAGAGCACACTTGGCTAAGTTAAGTTGTTTATTTGTCTCTTCTATAATCATAAAACATGAAGTTAGAGAACTGCCTCGGCAGAGTTAAGTTGTTTATTTGTCTCTTCTATAATCATAAAACACTAAGCTAGAGAGCACACTTGGCTGAGTTAAGTTGTTTATTTGTCTCTTCTATAATCATAAAACACTAAGTTAGAGAACTGCCTTGGCTGAGTTAAGTTGTTTATTTGTCTCTTCTATAATCATAAAATACTAAGCTAGAGAGCACACTTGGCTAAGTTAAGTTGTTTATTTGTCTCTTCTATAATCATAAAATACTAAGCTAGAGAGCACACTTGGCTAAGTTAAGTTGTTTATTTGTCTCTTCTATAATCATAAAACACGAAGTTAGCTGAGTTAAGTTGTTCATTTGTCTCTTCTATAATTACAAATAAATTATAAATAATCATAAGATACATTTATCAGGAGAGATGTCTGAGCTTTGGTAAAATTCTGTGTTGTAAAATGTAAAATATTAGCATTGAGCATTTTACATGAAATGTACTGCACTATTGTATCGACAAATCTTATAAAATGTATTTAAATCTTACCTGTAAAATACTAACAGCCTTTCATTGTTGAGTTGGTTTCATGCCTTTGAAAGTGTTTTATGTCTTTGACACTATGCTTTGTATCAACTTATGTATAATTCTACGATTTTCCACCTAACTTGTTGTTCGTATATCCAGAGAACTTATATAAGCTCTGCCAGTTTTTCTTGTTAACTATGTATTCTATGAATGGTAACTACAGCTGCATATGTTTCTATCAATATCAGAAATGCTAAGTACATTCTCTGGAGGCCTAACTCGTGCAGTCTACCTCCAATAAATCTTTTGTTAGGCCTAATCTTGAAGAAGTTTCTGCTGGAATAATTTCTTAGTTTTGTTCTTTTTGATATCTTAAATTAGATGAATGTTATGTTTAATTTTTGAATCTCTGTACGTTCCATTTTCTCACGGTATTTGGGTCATTGTTGACACTTTTAGAAATCACCTATTTGTTAACAACCTTTTAGCCTTCTACTGATCTTATTTCTCAAGTTTGTGACCTTTGGTTCAGTTTTATTGGAGGTTGGGTCTTTCATGTAGTCTTATTCTATGACCCTGGGTCTTCTAAGTAGTCTTCTATTTTGACCCACCAGTAGTTGAGCTGCACAGTTAAGTTGGTTTATAATCATGAAAATATTTAGTGTCACATAAAATAATGGATTAATTGAAAGGAGGATTAAATCAATTAATATCACAAAATAATCAACTAACTTAGATTAATGTTTCTGGTTGTTACCATTTTCAGTTATTTTAACTATCCAGTGATCAAAATATTGCCATTGTGTTTGTTGTTAAGTACAAATGTATGTGATGAGCTATCTGTGCTTTAACCACCATGATGCTATGTTGAACCAATTTCCATCAAATAAGAATGTATAATATTCTAGAAAAACCTGAGAATAACTTACCTTTTGAAAGGCTATTTTATACGTACACAACACTCATTGAGATTTTCATCAATTAAGTATTTCAAGCTTCGAAAGAACTAGGAAGGTTGGAAAAAAATTGATAGTAGACAGTAGAAATGAGCTTTCCAGAAACACAGGCTAGAGCAAAAGAAGGCCTTGTATGTACTAATGGTTAAAAAGGTAGCTATGAAATATGCTAGAGAGTAAATTGATACAGTTTGTACCCCATTCAGTAATATTCAAAATCAACTTTGTATTTGTTGTTATTTATGTGTATAAGGTAAAAAAAAAAAACTTCCTGGTAGTTAAAGTGTAAATTATTTTAATTTTCTGAGATTATTTCTCCATAAATCAGTAGACCTCTAAGTTTTGCTGACATTTATTAGTTAAAGACTAAAACTTTGAATAGTTAACTAAGTACCAAACTAAATACACCATCCACAAATGTTATATTGGAATGTAAGATCTGTTATATCTAACTTATTCAACAATATAAGATGCTTTATTTTTGCCGTACAATAACTTTGTTTTAATCTATAGGTACTGTCCAACCCTGAATTTCTCGCTGAAGGTTCGGCCATCAAGGATCTCTTACATCCTGACAGAATTCTGATTGGTGGTGATCAGACACCAGAGGGCCAAAAAGCAATTAAAGAACTGTGCTGGGTGTATAAACATTGGATTTCTGATAGCAAAATAATCACAATGAACACTTGGTCATCAGAACTGTCCAAACTGGTATGCTATATGTTCGTCAAATATTTATAAATATGCATGGTATACATAAGACATAGAGCATTTTTATGTTACACAGTAACACATGGTTATCAGAACTATTCCAATTTTTATGTTACACAGTAACACATGGTTATCAGAACTATTCCAATTTTTATGTTATACAGTAACACATGGTTATCAGAACTATTCAAATTTTTATGTTACACAGTAACACATGGTTATCAGAATTATTCAAGTTTTTATGTTACACAGTAACACATTGTTATCAGAATTATTCAAGTTTTGATGTTACACAGTAACACATTGTTTTATGTTACATAATAACATGTGGTTATCAGAACTGTTGAAGTTTTATGTTACACAGTAACATGGTTATCAGAACTGTTGAAGTTTTTATGTTACACAGTAACATCGTTTTATTTTACATAGTAACACATTGTTATCCGAATTATTCAAGTTTTTATGTTACACAGCAGCACATGGTTATCAGAATTATTCAAGTTTTTATGTTACAGAGTAACCCGTGGTTATCAGAATTATTCAAGTTTTTATGTTACAGAGTAACACATCGTTTTATTTTACACAGTAACATGTGGTTATCGGAAATATTCAAGTTTTTATGTTACACAGTAACACGTGGTTATCAGAACTGTTGAAGTTTTTATGTTACACAGTAACACATCATTTTATTTTGCATAGTAACGTGGTTATCGGAACTATTCAAGTTTTTATGTTACATGGTAACACATGGTTATCAGAATTATTCAAGTTTTTATGTTACACAGTAACAAATGGTTATCAGAATTATTCAAGTTTTTATGTTACAGAGTAACCCGTGGTTATCAGAATTATTCAAGTTTTTATGTTACACAGTAACCCATCTTTTTCAGAATTATTCAAGTTTTTATGTTACACAGTAACACGTGGTTATCAGAACTGTTGAAGTTTTTATGTTACACAGTAATGCATGGTTGTAATAACTATTTAAGTTTTTATGCTACACCATGTAAATGCCTTTTTCATCACCAAATTCCATTTTTTTAGTTCTATACCCACCACTAGAGGATGTTCTCCAGTTTGTGCAAAATAAGTAAAAAGTACAGAAGTTTAGTAAATATTTCTGTCAAAATATGCAATTCTTGTAATGCATAAAAAAAGAGAAGTATAACATTTTGTAGTTGCAATCTATGGAAGTTTTTTCTTTGTATTTTTAGGCAGCTAATGCTTTCCTTGCCCAAAGAATTTCCAGTATCAATGCTATCTCAGCCATTTGTGAAGCAACAGGAGCTTGTGTTTCTGAAGTGTCTCATGCAATAGGAACAGACACTAGGATTGGATCGAAGTTCCTTGAAGCAAGTGTGGGTGAGTAATTGCATTACATTTGTTTTCATGTTGAGATAGTCTTTTTTTTTAGATATGTATTGTAATATTGATAAAGTTTTTTAGCACTTTTACTGTATTGTTTAAACGTTTAAGCTAAGTCAGAGATTTGAATAGATTTCGTAGACTTCAGGTTGGACTAATTCATCTTAAATATGTTATATTTAAGGTTGGGAGGAAAATAATTTATTGTACCTATAAAGCACTGTTAGTAAAGTTTACTCAATTCTTTAATGTTTTTGTTTGCATTTAATTTTATGTTTATGAAGTAGTTAATTAAAATAATAATGATCAAGCTGTGTTATGTTGTTTTGTTCATATAACCCTCACTTAAATCTGTTTTTAAATAGCAGGCCTGGCATGGCTTGGTGATTAGGACACTCGACATGTAATATGCATGTTGTGAGTTCAAATCCCATCACCAAACACATTTGCTCTTACAGTTATGGGGGCATTATGTGACATTCAACCTCACTAATGGTTGATAAAGGGTAGTCCAAGAGTTGGCAGTAGGTGGCATTAAGTAGTTGGTTTCCCTCTGGCATATAACTTCTGTATTCAGAACAGTTAGCACAGCCAACCCTTGTGTAGCTTTGAGCAAAATTACAAAACAAAAGTTGATCAATAGACTTTGATTTATATGCAGTTTTTGTCTCTTCCTTGTCCTTGTGAGGATTTTAAAGGATCTCTTCCTTGCCTTTGTGAGGATTTTAAAGGAAAGTATCAATTAATAGATTTGAACTGGGATTGAAAAGATTGAATGAGCAAAACAGTGCAGTTTATTTATTATGAAATCTATAAGTGTTAGCAATCCCATAACTAGTTATTTAGGCATCAATGAATTTTCTGTAAATAAAGTTGTTTGCTTATTTCTGTCAGTTTAGCATGTTTTTACATATTCCAGTAGCATATCTTTTTAGTATCACATTTGATATAACTAATTACACATCAACGGACACTTTTATGGTGATTGGTTGGCTTTATCCCTTTCTATACAGGTTGGGGTCAGAGCACATCATCACATTTTATACTTACATTCAAAATGTTATTAAACTACAAGCTGAGTTACCCGGCATTGCATAGTGAAAATTTACATTTGAAATGTATAGATCACTATTTTTTCAGCACATTATTCAGTAAGTAGACAAAAGCTGTAATGTGAGAAATAAAAAAGCATTTAATCAAACAAAGCTTTATTTGAAATTAGATTGTGTTTGAGCTTGTCTTGTTCTTTGAGCCTGAAGTCGTACACCATGTTGTTCCTCTGTGTCTTGCTCTCTGTAAGTTATTTATCTTTGTAGGTCCATTTTATTGTTGTTCTCTCTACGTGT